CTGGCCTCTCTTGACCCCACCTCAGGGTTCCCCTCCCAGCACCCCAAACACCTGCCTTGGCCCAGGCTGCTCCCCGAAGTTCCCCCCTTCCCCTGCCTCAACCTGCCCCCGTTGCCCAAACCGCCCCCTCTCCAGCCTTGACACCCCAATTCCCCCCCCAGTCTCCCCCTTGCTCCATCAGAGAGGTGTTCCCAGGGTGCTGAGGTTTCCTGGTCTAAGGAGGGGACAGGGCTGGGGGCGAGGGCTGGTTCCCTGCGGGGTGAGTTGGGGCAGACCTCCCCTCCAGCAGCAGGCACAGGGGGGACGAGCGCTCACCCGGCCCCCTCGGTTTCTCCCAGAAAAGACGTGTAGCGGACCTGTTGGCCAACTACATTCCCGAGGACGAGGCGCTGCTGTTGAGGAGCGGGAGGTGAGCGAGAACCCCGAGGGCAGCCCCCCACCGCCAGCTGTTTGTGGGGTCCTGACAGCAGATTTCCCCCTCCTTGGCATAGGTACGCCTGCACGGTGTGCGCCCACCGCCCCGTCTTTGACACGCTGGACGTGCTGACGGTCCACAGGGCTGGCAAGAAGCACATGGGCAGTAAGTGGGGGGCCGGCGGCAGGGTGGGCTGCACCAAGTGAGCGTGGCAACCCCCCATCCCCTTTGCTCTCTTCGCAGGCCTGCAACGCTTCTACAGCAGGAAGCGCTTGCTCCAGGATGCGGCCCAGAGGCGGCAGCACGAGCAGGAGGTGCAGGCAGAGGAGGCAGGCACGCAGGTTGGTGAGGACTCCCCTTCCTCACCCTGCTGGACCCCCTGGCTGGGCCCCGCTGAGCTCTGTCCTCTCTCCCCAGGGCTCCCCGGCCCCTCTTCTGGCACAGACGAGGAGGATTGCCCGGAACGCTCTGCTGAAAGCCGCTCCCTACAGCAGCTGCTGCCGGAGGACAGGGTAAGACCTTTAGTTTTGCTGCTGGAGGATGAGAGAAAGCTCTGGGCTTTCTGGGAGGGACCGGCAGCACCGCGGCCTCACCGCCGTCAGGCGTTTGTGGGATGAGGCTGTGACTCCTTCCCCTTTGCAGGGCGGAGGGAAGCAGCTCACGGGCTTGCGTGACCCGGACGGGACCGAGTGCCACCCTGGCACCTCT